AGGAAGGAAGGAAGGAAGGAAGGAAGGAAGGAAGGAAGGAAGGAAGGAAGGAAGGAAGGAAGGAAAAAAAGAAAGAAACCTCTTTGTTCAACTGAATATCTACAGCTTTCTTGTACCCATCCAGACCTTCCTAATTTTCCAAAATCCAAAAACCTTCCCCAGGCCTGAACAGCGACTGCCTGCTTCCTAAACCTGCTTTACCTTGGAGAATTCAAAAATTCCACAGCCTGCCAGCAGCTTCTAAGTTTGGGAACTCTGCTGTTCTTGGACCGGGATTCCCTACAATAAGTTTGGGACCCTCGGAGCTCCGATTTCAGATCGAGTCCTGAACTACTCACATCTTGGGCGGCGTTCTGCTTCAGTTCTCCCGCGACGTACGCGGACTCTTCCTCGGGGGCCGCTCCCAAGCGATACCCACCTCCAGCAAAGGGCTGCCAGGAAGGAGGGAAAGAAAAAAAAAAAAGAGAGGAATGAACAAGAAGTCGCCGGCCAGATTTGGGGAAGGGGGGGTAGAAGAGGGCAGGGAGTCTTGTCCAGTTCTTCTCCATGAAGCTCGGTGGCTGTTTCAAGCTATTATCAGCCGTTCCTCCATCCTATCCAAAAGATTATTATTATTTTTTTATATAGGACAAAGCAAGGTTCTTTCTGCTCTACAAATGAAGCGCTGACTAACACGACTTCCAAAATACCAGGGATTTTTGTAAACCTTTCTTAGAAGTACCTGGATTTGGGCTGTTGTTTTTCTGACAGCCTAACAGCATCCGTAGGAAGCAGAATATAGATTAAATACGCTACGGCAGGAGAGTCTTCAAACTTGACAGCTTTAAGTCTTGTGGACTTCAACTCCCGGAATTCCTCCTCCAGTCCATGTCAGCTCAGGAAATCTGGGAGTTGAAGTCCACAAGTCTTAAGACTTGCCAAGTTTGGAGACCCCTTGCACTATAGTGATCAATGCTTCCTATTCCTCTAACTCAAGGGTCTCCAAACGTGGCAGCTTTAAGATTTCTGGACTTCAGCTCCCAGAATTCCTCAGATAGCCGTGCTAAGTCCACTCGTTGGGTCATGAAACATGTGCAAGAAAACAGCCAAGCTCAGAACACCAAGAACCACACAGTCCTCCTCCTCCTCCTCCTCTTCCCTCCCTCTCCAGTATCCCACTCCCCTCTAGCGCTGTTGATGTTACCTAGTTGGGTCATAAAACGTGTGCAAGAAAACAACCAAGCTCAGAGAGCACCAAAGACCCCACTGTCCTCCTCCTCCTCCTCCTCTCCCTCCTCCTCCTCCAACTCTGCAAACCCCACTTCCTCCTAGCACTGATGATGTTACCTAGTTGGGTCATGAAACTTCTGCAAGAAAACCACCAAGCTCAGAGAGCCCTAAGGACCCAACAGTTCCACTCCTCCTCCTCCACAAATCCACCCCCCCTTCTGGGACTGATATTACCCAGTTGGGTAAAAAACGTTTGCAAGAATACAACCACACTCAGGGATCACCAATAAAACTACAGTCCTCTTCTTCCTCCCTCCTGCTCCTCCTCTTCCTCTTTGCAAAACCCACTCCCTTCTCGCATGGATGATGTTACCTAATTAGGTCACAAAATGTCTAAAAGGAAAAAAACCAAATTCAGAGAACACCAAGGATTCCACCGAAAGAGAAAACCCAGATAAGCGTGGATTAACACCAGACAAACAATCAAGCAGAAAACAATACCTCAATCAAGGAATTACGGGGTGGGGTGGGAGAGAGAACTACAGCCCTACCACTGTATATAGACAGAGAAAAAAACCCACCTCCTTCTAGCAATGATGATGTTGCCTAGTTGGGTCATAAAACGTGTGCAAGAAAACAACCAAGCTCAGAGAGCACCAAGGATCCCACAGTCCGTCCTTCTGTCCTTCCTTCCTTCCTTCCTCCCTCCCTCCCTCCCTCCTTCCTTCCTTTGCCTCTCCTCTCCCTTCTAGCACTGATGATGTTCCCTAGTTGGGCCATCAAACATCTGCAAGAAAACAGCCAAGCTCAGAGAGCACCAAGGACCCCACAATCCTCCTCCTCCTCCACTCTGCAAACCCTACTTCCTCCTAGCACTGATGATGTTACCTACTTGGGCTACGAAACGTCTGCAAGGAAACAACCAAACTCAGAGAGCACTAACGACCCAACCGCCGTCCTCCTCTCTTCTCCTTCTCCACTCCATAAACCCCCCCCTCTTCTAAGCACTGATGATGTTACCTAGTTGGGTCATGAAACGTCTGCAAGGAAAGAACCGAGCTCAGAAAGCACCAAGGACCCCAAACGTCCCCTCCCTCTGTGCCAAGCCTGGTTCTGTTTGAGGGAATCCTTAAGCCACTTGAAAGCAAATCGGCCCACCCACCCAAGATCCCCCCAAAGTAAGGACTAAAGCCCTATTGAAGCAGTCCCCATCTCACCTTTGGCCTGCTGCCTTCCCCGGGGCTCTTAGCTGTCCTGTCGACGGCCACGGCCCCGTGTTCTTTGGCCCCCCGGAAGAGATCTTCCACCAGCTCGTTCGAACTCTTCTTCCTCGGGGGGCCAACGATCTGCTGCCCGCTTCGTTCTGACCCACCGGCATAAAACCTGAATGAAAGAGAAGATTTGAAGAGAAGTCCTCGTCCGAGGCCAACGGTCAGCTTTGGAAGCCATATTGAGACCAGATGCTCCCACGCTGCCACATTTTTGAGGGGGAATTGGTTGGGAGTGTATATAGTTAGAGATACTAATGTTCTTTTCCTAAATCAAGGTCATGTTCTTTCTGCACGTAAGTGAGAGGAAGTCTTAAGTTGGGACGGATGGTGATTGGGCCATGTGATGTGATGATTGGGCGCAGGGGATGGATTTGTAGTTTTTACTTATTGCAAGGAAGCCCAGAACTTTCAGATTCGGGATTCCACAGATGTTCCAGTTAATATCCAAATAAATTTTTGAGAAGATGTCTGTCTTGGGAGTTATTGGTTGGAGTGGAGGTTTGATGGAACGCTGACTTCAGAAGCACAGCATCATGTTTTGCCAGCAAACCCAACAGCTGATATAACCGGCTGGCAGCCTGCGGAGACGGCAGCAGAGTCGGACACTGGGGAGGAACACGGGCCAGTCCCGGAGTCTGGGGAGGACTCGTCTGACACAGAGATGGGGCCAGGGCCACCTGGGAGTTATGTGCTGACTCCGGAGCCTCCAGAATCTGACATCAGTGAGGCAGAGGAACAGCGGGAGCTTGTTCCCAGTGTGCGCTTGCGCAGAGCTGCCAGAAGGCAAGAGCAGTTAAGACAAAAGGGGCGATTCGGGAGTAGGGCTGGGAGATGATTGGCCCCTCCCATACGACATAAAGGAGGAGCCAAGGGACAGGAGCCTTTGCAGGAAGCAACTTTGTTCGTTCTGGTCGGTTTAAACTCTGAAGCTCCATGTTGATTTAGTCTTGTACAGCTAATAGGCAACTTAGTCGTAGGCTAAATTTCAAGGAAGATAAAGGTGTGCGCTTATCAGACTTAACCTGAAGGACTTTGGCAGGCTTCCATGGGACTATCTATCAAAGGAATACTCGCATTTAAATATTGGCAAATATTGTGTGAGTGTATGACACACACACACAGAGTATACACATACATAATAAATAGAATTTTTGTCAATATTTAAATGCAAGTATTGATAAGGGGAATAAGGAAGATGTTTTTATCTGATATGACCCAGGGACTTTTTGGAGAATTCCCAGTTATGGCCGAACTGGGTATTTTAGAGGCCGGAGCCACATCTGTTCCTTTGTCTGTCCCTGGATTGCTTTTATGTGTAGTCCTCGACTTACAACCCACACAGGCTTTCCCAGTTCCTCCTTCCATCTGACCAGTGACCCACCTTTGTCCTTCCTCTTCCTCCTCCTCTTCCTCCTGAGCATGAACGAGGTCACGGAACGACGTCACCCTGTGGTCGCTGGAGAAAGGAAAAGCAAGTATGAAATGAGTTTGCTGCCGCCACCTCCTCCGATGTGGTTTCTCTTCCTCGGAATCTTTCAGGCTCTGACCAGGGTGAAATTACTTAAGGAGCAGTTGTAAACCAGGAAGTGGACTTGCAACAGCCACCAAAAGGGTTACACAGGGTCACAGGGAAAATGAACTGCCAATTGCACTCCAGGTCCAATCAAAGATTATTATTTTCATCTCTAAATCCATTGATGGCACCTTCTGCGTTCAGGTTTTTGGCCCGGTCTGCTAGATTAAGGTTTTTCAAACTTTTAAGAATGTTGGCTTCAATTCCCAAAACTCCCCAACCAGCAGGCTTTAAGATGGGTGGACTTCAACTCCCAGAATTCCCCAGCTAGCAAGGTTTAAGATTATGGAGT